CAATTCTGAGGATCAATGAATTCTGCAGGTAGCCCAATACCTGACAACTACACACTAGATAAAGGACAATATGGCCTAAGCACCATGGGGAACTGCTCCTGCTGGAAACCGGGTCCAGCGCCCCACCCCACGGGCGGCCCCACCCCATCTCTGACTACCCCTGTTGGGGCGGGGGGCAAGATGATTCACATCGTTTGCGAGGCCCTATGGTTGCACGCGGCCCTTCCCTATACTCTTATTAAAAAAAAAAAAAAAAAAAAAAAAAAGGAGTAGTGGTAGGAAGGTAGTGAAAGGCAAAAAGAATTTGATAGAAGATTATATCATTATTATAGTGTAGAAAAAAAAAGAAAAAAAGAAAAAAGAACTGCAGTAGTTTACTCATCTCCTTCCAGGGGCGAGGTCCCACTAGCAACATGGATTGGATTGAACGCCTGAATGTAGACATGTTCCTGGAAAAAGTGCAGAAAATCGAGATTGAACAGCTTTTCTGCATCTCTGCTTAAAACACTTCCAGATTCAGGAGCTAAATCCAATCCTGTTCGCTAATGGGACCTAGGCCCAGTGGAGTTTGAACTCAGCTCTGCATTTCAACAGTTCAGGGCTATCCCTTCTGTTTTTCTTTTTTTCTTTTCCTTTTTTTTTTTTTTTTTTTTTCCCCGCGTGGGAAGGTAGGGAAAACTGGCAGTTTTCCTGAACTCCTGAATATTCGGAGGTCGGGCCCCATGACGACTGCCATTCATAAATCTGATCGGCGGCCGTCATTTCGTTTCGGCCTCTGAAAAGGTCGGACGCCTACCTGAGGCCCGCTATTTTCCCAAGTGGCAAAGGTAGCTGCCTTCTCCTCATTGGGGGACAGCCATATATTTTCTCTCACCTCCCATATCTTTCTTTTAAACCACCAATACACGCTGCGCCATTCGGGCTTCGGCCTGCCGGACCGCATTGGCTGGAGGCCGCAGGCAAAACGAAAAAGAAAATTGCGACGGCGGCTCGGCAGGACTTGGCGCGCAGTGTGCTGGGAGGCTCGGATTCAATAGCTGAGCGAGGTACTGGTGGTTTAACTGGCTTTCTGCCATGTCATGGAACATATCTTTCTTTCCACTGCCTACCACTACTCCTAAGGCTATACAGGGGACCCCTGCAAGCATAGCTTTCTGCCTCTCTTCGGTGAAGGGAGAGGTTACCTCTCTCGGTGGAGAGGGGTCACGGCATGTTTGCACCTTTGCCCTAGCATTGTAGGGTGCAGGGTTGGGGCCGCCCGTGAGGGCCCGGCTAACACAAGGACCGAGCATTTGCCAGTGAGTAACTGTGCCTCCCTTTTCATCTTCCCCCACCCCCATCGACTAAACAGTAGTGTCTAAAGCCAATACTCTCCCACAAACCACACTCAACCCACTCACACACGCACTCACACCCGTGGGCTAGATCCCACTTGCACCAATTATGAGATACTGACCGCAGGGAGAGCCTTTTTCATTACAAGCTGGCTGTTGGTAGCTGCCGCTGCTTTTTTTTTTTTTTTTTTT